GAAGGATTTGATTGTTTGTTTACATTGAATAGACTCCGAAACTACTGGACCGATTGTCAATATTTTTTAACGGATAGCTACGTCATATGCGGGTAACGTAGGCTATAATTTACGAGGGCGAAGTCGCTGGTTCGTTAGTATATAGCAAGTTATACTTATATATGAGCAAGAAGTACTTATAAAAGAAGCACAATATATAGAGAATATGATTTTCATTCTTTGTCAAAAAAATTAGCCATCATTATTAGTTATGGAACTCTATAATTCGTTTCAGGTACTGTATTAATTCATAAAAAGTATTTATAAATGAACAATAGAGTTTCTAAATAAATTATAAAAATGGGTAAGCAGCTAAAGAAAACTTACGTAAAAGAATATAAGAAAATAAAATATAATAAGATAAAAGACTGATGCCGACGACCAGGGTCACAAGCATATGGTCCCAAAAAAAAAGACTTTAAAAACTATAAAGTTGCTGAAACAAATATCTACAAAGAAATTAATAAGGGGACCGGATACAAGCTGAAAAATATTACCTTAAAAATAAATTCAACGCTTGATAATTTCTATTTGGTCTCAAGACAATAGAATAAAATTTATTACAGTTATGTAATGATGCGGCTGGTGTGAGACGGTCTCGCCCGCATATTTATTTACGTAATTTAAATGTTATATAGACATATGTACTTTGTATGTTTGCTTAAAAATATTTAGCAGACTAAGATTCAACCATTTGACGTGGAGCGCTATATTGTGCACATGTGAGCCATATAGGTTGTATCTAACTGTACCATAATCGATTTCTTACCAGTAAATAAATGATATACCAATAGATATTTATGTTTTATTAATAAGTGATTATTGCGTCATTCCACAATGGGAATTCTTTGACAGCTGGCTAAATAACAAGTAGATATTTAATTTTGAAACTAAATAACATGATGAAAATTGTATAAAAGGGGTCTCGGGTCGAGGTTTTTCTATTTAGGTATAATATTTTAAATATTTTAAAAGTAAGCGAAAATTTTAAGTGAATGATGTTTCATTCATCACCTTAAAATCCCTCACTGTTCTATGTAAAATATTTAGGCTGCTAAATATTTATATTTGGATATTTATGGAGGATATAAGTATAAAATATTAGAGGTTTAACGACGTTTTTGGAGATAATTTGGGAACAAATTTGTTGCGTAAAAACATTTAAATGCTACCATTAACAATAATTTAACAGGCTATTTCACGTTCATAAATCAAATACTTGAATGTCAATGTAAACTTATTTGTATGAAAAATGAAAAAAAAATATGGCCTTGTTCCGTTATGCACAGAAATTCTGCCAACATCCCGTGGTGAGAGAGACACGAGACCCGAGAGACTGAGTGGTAGGAAAAAAATATTTAAAACAGATAACTGTTTGTAAAAGTGTTAAATATCTGGTCAATAAAATGGAAAAAAGGACGATCTAGGATTCCTTTGCCTCGAGTGAGAATCGAAACATAGTTTGTTTGTCATGTATTTTAATTTTATAATGAAGGTTTTATATAAGAGTGCTCTTTTGTTTTATGTCTACCTTCTCTTTTTTTCTCATCTATATTTTCTTTCTATTTAATTCTATTTTCTACCTATATATGCCAATAAAAGGCCCCGAAACCATAATAGGTTTGTTCCGCGCTCATTTCCTAATATTTTTTATCATAAACAGACCGTAACTTTTTCAAAGCTTAACTGCAACTTAAAATATAGAATTAGCATAATACAAAAGTTATATCATCAAACCTCCAGCCATTACAGATTTGCGAAAATTTTAGACTCTAACAAATGCCTGATAAGATTGCGTGACTTAATTAATTTACTTACACCAAAGTAGGTAATTAAGTGTTTATCAAAATATATTCTAATTTGGTGTACATTAAGTACCTGACGAAAGATGCGTCATGTGATTGTCGGTCTTATAAAAAGAGCAATATAAAAACAATCAGAGATAACCTTAATATTGAAACAGGGCAATTGTTCCAGACAAAGGTTCTAGTGGATTTCCCAAATATTTTACAAAACAGTTTAGTGCATATTTTGCAAATATATATATACAGTATATCATTGTATTTCTTTCATTACATGTGACTTCGGAATAACCTTAAAACAATTATTTTTCTAATTTTTAAACGACAATATTATGAAAAAAATATCTATACTTATTCCGAATTAGAATCGGAACAGTTTTTGTTTGTATTTTTTAATGTAACGCATATCTAAAAATATAATTCATATTATAAAATTTTTTTCATTTAATAACCCAGTTTATAAAGAGAATTCTTACCAATTCAAAATTATTATTGAATCTTTAGCAACTAACTTACCCCGGGGTAAACTAATTTTATCAGACAATAACTTGTCCAAGATGCCAGGCTAAATAAATTTTCCATATTAAAAATATTCCGTAAGGCAATAGAATAAAAATAACTCCAGCTTAGCTACATTTCATTTATATTCGGAACCATTCGCAAGGAAAAAAAATAAGCTGGGCAAACGCATCCTGACAGTCTTACGTGATGTTTATCAATGTATCTACGTCATCAAAGGTTATATATATCGTCATTGGGCATCTAAAATTAGCTATTTTAATAATGTTCTTGATACCTTTTGATGAATATTAATAGTCGCAACTGTTTGTTTGCTAATACGCATTTTAGATTCTCAACTACTTCAAAAATTTAAGCTATTCAATTAATCCTTTGCGTTTTTCACGTGGTATATCAGCATTGTCACTATTTCATCTGGCATTCTTTCCACGTATCCGCACCAACGGAGCATGTTTCTGACCATTTTTACAATAACGCTATATTTCAAGTCAACTATCTTTCTTATATCGTAATGAAACGAATGCGGTCAGCGAGCGTTACTCCTCAAATTCTACGCAACAAACACATCTCGACTACATTTATTAAAAATAAAAAACAGAAAAGGATGATGTTGTGGAAAATTTCTGGACGCAGCCCCTTGTTTCTCACAAGCACAAAATAAAAATCTAAGACTAATCAATCGATCATTCATATTTAGCACTTGAAGTGAGAATAATACGAGCCACGGATCTGACCAAAGAATACTTTTCTCAGAAATCATATGAAACTTACTTTTCACGTTATAAAAAAGTCTTCACCCATTCGTATTTATATTCAGTAGAGTAGGACACGCTAAACGAAACATTTTAGAAAACACTTTCTGATATGGTAATGTTAAAAAGTATATCAGGTCAAAGACGGTGAGGTTGAGACACGAGCGGAAACTAACGAACACATTCATCCTATTGACCCTAAGAATACTGCACAAAGAAATTGACATAATAATAGTAGAATATCATTATGAACAGTCGAATAATATAAAAAAAACACGTACAGATAATTTATTACTTTTTTAATTAAAAATAATATTAAAAAAAGAACATGTATTAAATATTATCTATTCATCCGCATAAATGTGAGCGTATGATGTAGATTCCCGTAGGTGAAAAAAAAATTAAAATCAAGTTATTTCGGAACAAAAAACAAACCTTTCCTATTAATAATATTAAACCATAAATGGAAACTATGCAACTACTTAGGGCACTGCACTGCTTTTGGGGGGCGGCATGGCATGCCAAACAGACTACGTGTACCCTAATTATTTGAACTTTAAATATGTAGTACCTTAAGAAAGTGACTGTTGTTCTTTGATTATGAGTCTATTTCCGTAATCAAAAGTAAAAAAAACATACCAGTACATAAGGACTTCCTTTTGTCATTGGAAAAATAACACTCTTTAATCGGTGTATCTACCTAATTAGTCTTTTCATTTTGTTGTGATTTTTATGGGCCTCATTCCAGAGGGCGCTAAGTTTCAGTATTTTAGGGTGTCAAGTTTCATAGAGCCGGCGCTGAGTATAGACAACTTATTGCTGATTGATGTGAAGGATTTTATTATAATAAAATGTAGCATATGGCTGTTGAAAGCTTTACATTTTACGAATTTGTAGTAAAATAAAAAGAAAAACATATGACAGAATGTCAGATTGACTCCTACACCCGAGTTCGTCGTTTTTCTCTTTCTCTGAGGCAACTTCTGTAGCACATAAGTATTAATTTGTATATATCAAAATAAACTTAATAAAACCTTACAATGATAAAATTATTAAACAAAATTATAATCTTTTCATTCAATATTTGAAAAATGCAACAATTTTCATGCAAAAATACATGCGGTAAAACAGTTTATAAAGTAGTTTTATCTTATAATTAGTGGCCGTGAAAATATTAGAAATAAAAAGATTCATTCAAATGTTATATTGGCTCTTGTAAAAATTGTTACAAGTTTTAAGTATTGCACATACAAGTACTTATAATGTAGGTATAAATCAGCGCTTAAATCTCACGTTTGCATGATAATATACTTTTATATTTTGTTGGAATGGAAACTTATTTATACTATTGATCATTTACATAGGTATTATGCACTCGTACAAATTGAATGAGTGCGTATAGTAAAAGCTTTCTGATTGTTTCGTATTTTCTAGTTTCTTGTAATCCTTTTTTATTTTTTCTTTGTTTTGAAAACTTTGAAACTTTTTCAAAAAGATGCGCTTGATATTTCTTTGCTATCACAGATCTGTCATATTTAATCGACAGATAAGAAACAACAAAAAAATCGTTTTATCGTCGTAGATTACCAATAGTATCATTCATTATAGCCCATCTATTTCATTCGAAAATAAAACATTGTGCAAATATTAACTATTTATTTTTGGTAGCTTTTTAAGTCTATGCCGATAATGTAAATCAGTACATATCCTTTTACTAAAAATTATTTCCAAGAAGAGCTTCTCAACTCTAGCAATATTATACGCTGCATCAATTTCGCTCGACTAGAACCAATTCTCATTAAGAAGCCTACGGGCCTTTAAACTGGCGTGCATAAAATAATATCAGTTCCTAATGAAGAGCAAAAGAAAAAAAAAATTGATTACTTACACCATTTCCTTAAGAACGCGCTGGTTAACTTTGCACACAACTTGTCACGGCCCTGCATTTTGGTTTGTTTTTTTTTTAATTCTATTTATTTTAAATCACGATATATAACAGCACTGTCACACAACACAACACATCACTCGTCATTCGGCATCCATGCGGGCGTGGAGGTGTTCACACAGTGACGGCCGGCATGCGACTGAACACCTCTGGCAGGTCGTCGTATGCGCACACGCAACTGCAAGAGACAAGAAGAAAAAATATCGATTAACCATAAAGCTGTATTACTGGTACTACTTGTACACAGATCTACCACATTTTATAACTATTGGCTAACACACCAAGGGCAGTGAGCTTGAAGACCTTACGTATAAGAACCATGTATTCTAAACTCGTTTTAAGATCGTGTATAAAGTTATTTGATCGCTGTTTAAATATTGAATAAATTACATAGGTATATCTTTTATTACTTCAGAAACGAAATTGTGGCATTAAATGACCTCCAAATTTTTATTCGAGTTTTTTTTTTATAAATTTGTTATATTAATTTGTGATTAACATCCAGAAAATTAATATTTAACGATTATAACGCTACAAAATATGTGGTATCCATGTGGGATTGACTATATATTATTACAGAATGTAGAGATTAATATCAAAAATTTTGTTTACATATTTTACAAATCACCAAAAGCATCGAGTCACTTAGGCGGAAAAAAATGATACTCCGACAACTCCATACAAAAAACTCCATCTTACTTTTTTTTTTTCAAACGATAATAATTTTAAATCTTATACTTCATTTAAAAATAATTACAACCTTTTACGCTAAATATATGTAAAAAACTTCAAATAAGTTCAGTTTCCATTCAAGTCCTATGAAACAATAAATCTAACGTAATAAACTTCGTTAGCCTTTTCTCGAGAACCCAGCGAACGAAAAATAACATGTTTCGTGTTTGATTTTTACATTTGAAACCTTAAAATATCAGGTAAATTACATGGAGGTTATATTGTGAAACCAAATTCTACGGTACGATAGGCAATCTCCTTTAATATTATATAATTTCATAGGACATGTGACGTCAGTTAAACTTATATGGCTATAACGTTTGTAATACACAAACGTTATCTAAAGCTCTAAGCACATTCTATAGGATAAAAATGGATTTGATAAGACTTAAATATTTGTTGTGAGGCCCGCGAGTTCACCCAGCTTAATAAAACATTCATCATAAACATTACGAAATAGGTATTTAATCTAATAAGCTTATTAAAATCAATTTTTTATTGCCTAGAATTTATAACCTATGTTCCAGGGTTTAATTTACTCGTAGTAATTATAACAAAAACAAGCAATTTGTAGGTATGCATAAATTTATGTTAACAGGACTAGCTTCAAATAACAATGAATTTCACGATGTGGCTCATTCTTATAATAATATCTTCATATTGAAACTTCGTGATAAAAAGTGGAATTATCCAGTACTAGTAAACTAACTAACTAGTAGATTACTAGTAAAAATATTATAACTTTATTTTATAACGAAATATTAGTGATACTTTATTTCAAAGAACTTTTTTATTCATCAGTTAACCCGATTATTTTATTACGCAACCGCGACATAAACTTGTTGTACCAGATTTACACAACACGACTTGCCTGTTAACAGGTGCTAAAAAAGGTTAATAAAATTATGACGTATATTTTGTGCATACAACGACACGTTAGACTTGCCACAAAATAACTTTGTGGTACAGATTTGGTATCTTCAACCGATTAGAGGTTGCATATAAACTAAAGAAAGTATAACATACTCGTATTTATATATCGTGGGGCAATCGTTGAATTGGCCCGATCGGGATCTTCCCGGGTATATCACGATATGCTGCCATTTCTTAATTTGGCTAGAAAAATCACGATTTGCCCGGATAAAAGTTTGGCACACCGAAGAGAACAACGTATTTAGTAATATGGCTGGGCGCATCGTAGTATAGTTCCATTTCGCGTCACTGGTGGCGCTGTCGCGCTCTCCACTGTATATTTCCAAGTAAGAAAGATAGTGATGTCACAAGCGAATGAAAACTGTGATATTAAAAATAATGACAGTTTCGAAACTTATGTCGTTACTGCTGATATCATAACTTACTTCCAGAAGTGGTTTTTCAAATGAATTATGAGCGTCATTTACAGGACTTTTTGCAATTCACGCAAATTCAACGCACAATGGTAAAAAACCGCTGGATTTCTGCTCGGTTTTGGATAACAAATTAATGTCTTGTGCTAAATATAATAACATATTATGACTACAGGTTTGGTTTCTTTATGCGGTAGGATAAAACCCGGGCTGTTGCCCATTTCTGTTTACATAGTACTTCGGCCAACCTTCAAAATCTATTGGCCTAAGTATAGTTGAGAAAATCGTCAAACATTAAACATTGAACGATATGGCGAATGATAGATGACCAAATCAAGAAATGGCGCCATATCGTGATATGCCCGTCCAGATCTCGATCAACCCAGTTCAACGATTGCCCCACGACATATATTTTGCTCAAATACATAATTTACTAGTTTTTAATAGGTTTATATTACAGGTAATAGAAGGCCGTTGGTAGAGTAGTAAAGCTCCATTTACACTAACAAGTATAGGGAGCCAGTGAACCAATATCTATCGTTGTATAAGCAATAAATACTCGCCTGAGAGGTAAGTTTACTAAATTGGGTCTAAGGCGGCAATCAAGATAAAGGAGAAAACGAGACGAAATTAACGCCCCAATGAAATAGGGGCAGAGGAAAAACTATTTTTATTAATTAATTACTCGCGAGTCATTAAGGTTATTGTAAAAGTGTACGTAAAACTCTCAACTACAAAGTGATTCACTTCATAAGTTTTTCGTAGGAAAAAACAGTAAAATAGGCAACGAGAAGACTTGGAAAAAATATGAATTTGCGTTTTCTTTTTCTGTCGAATATTTTAAAATTAATCCTTAGAATTATGAATTAGCTAATTTTTTATTTTCGTTCACAATCCATTTGGACTTTATTTCTTGGTTCAATTGATATTTAGTAATTTTTATGTACAACCTTCTCTTAATAGGTACAGAAAGACGATATTAGCGCGGAATGTAGCAAAAATTATTTTTTAATTAATTACTGGGAAACCATTAATATGATTATTGTTAAATCGTTAACGGCCTCGGTCATAAAGTGATTCACATACTTAACAATTTTCGCAATAAAAAGAGTGTAAGTAATTAAATGAAGAAATTGAATATATAGAGTGGTAACAAATTAGGTACGTATATTTTTATAGCTGATAGAAATCTTTTGCTTTATGCGCATAATGTGTGAAAACATTTGTTATGTCCGTAAAATTCTAGGTAGACGGATGAATTTCAGTTACTTTTGCTGCACTTATTTCATTAGTAATCTACACGTGTCTTTAGATCTTTTATTTAAAATCTTGTATAAATATAGTTGACGCATAATCATTAAATATATAAATTATGAACTCTTATAAACTCAACAACTCATACGATTTAGGATAATCACAGACAATATTTAAAATGAGTGATATAAAGAAACATACGGGAATAACGTCCCTATAAGTGTTTTATTCAATAATGAACCTTAAACTTAACCGGCATAAGGTTTCAAGTCGCATAAAAGTATATCCGTTGCGCATTACCAAAGCTTACTTTCTTCGACAATTAATTTTTGACTAAATTAACATAGCATTTTGCTATTACACAACGTTAATGTTCTTATTATTATATTGTTTCTATTGAGATCATTATCAAACGAGGTCGACTTCCATTGTGCTAATTTAAATAATTCACTAATGAATGAGAATTATAATTTAAAAGCTAAATGCACAGGCAAAATTATGTCTGTATAATATATATACATATATAATTATCATTTACTAGTGACCGCCAGCGACTTCGTACGCTTTTTCCATTATAGCTTCGCTCCTAATAGTTGCAGCGTGATGTTATACCTATAGCCTCGATAAATGGTCTATTCAACACAAAAAGACTTTTTCAATTCGAACGAGTAGTTCCTGAGATTAGCGCGTTCAAACAAACAAACTCTTCAGCTTTATAATATTAGTAGATAATCTAATTTAGTATTGACTTTTAAAAACTTCAAAATTCAGGAGGTTTTAATCGAATTTGTAATAGTTGTTTAATTTTTATATCAAATAGATTTTTTAAAACGGTCCAGTAGTTTCGGAGCATATTAAATGTAAACAAACAAACGATCAAATCTTTAGAGATTAGGAAGAGGAATTCCTCTTTAGAATATTAGTATAGCTATCTGAAAGAGCTGCAATTTAAATAAAAGTCGACGACGACATCGCGAAATGGCTGTTCATCAATATATAACCATAAATCTACATTATCAGCGATAACACCTTCGTACATATTGAAAGCTATATTTAAAAAAAGGCAGCACGACGTGTTCGCGGTATCAGTCAGAATATTTTATTATCCTAAACGTGTTTATAGTCAAAGTAAAAAGGTAAAATAAACGTTCATTCAAGAGAAAAAAGAGAAAGACTATCGCTAATATTATTAGAAACGGAATACATTGCATCTCGTTCTTGAATCTATTGGTTGTTCTTCGTTACTGGCAAACACCGAGAGTAACAGAACCGGTCATGTGAGTAATAAAATTGGTTCACAGTCAAAATATATAAAGGTATATCAAATGAAAGAAATTTTTGAATTCCATTACACTGATAGTTGACTTTTTCTATAGTCTGTTTATAGGGCAAGGGAAGATCAGACAATAACTCAGATATTAGGTAAGCATCGGATAAATTTGCCAACCGTACTCTAAAATAGAGTATTATTCTCTACATGATGTAGGCGTACTTAATAATCGAGAAAGCTAAAATACTGTTTCTTACAGAATGTTTATTATACCAGTGCCAGTCACGTATATGTGATGCATACTAATTATTATTTGTAACCGAAAAATAAACAAAAAAAAAAGCCTATTTTTTGTATCTTTATCTAATAAAAGCTCTTCAAACAACTGCTTAGTTTTATTCGTACGCTTTCAATACTGTTTAGCCGTTTATTGGAACATACATTTTCCAAGAAGTCAACCGCTGTGTGTGCGATATTTATTTGCATATGCACTTATCTATACAAAATTCGCAGAAGGCTTACTTTAAGATACAAAGATTATTTATTTATATCTTTGTGACTTTCAAGGTCTGATTG